AGACAAAAAGGAAAAAAAAAAAACAACTTTCCCCCTCATTGTCTCTCTCTTTTGACCTCACAAACATTCGTTGAATCACTCTTCTGGGTTTTATTTCCTTGCCTAGATCTCCAAGAAGAGGATCAAAATCGACTTTTTTGCGATCTGGGTTCGGACAAAGATTCTGTCTTCCTGCTTTCTACTGTTTTGATTCAGCTCGAATTTAATTCAGGTAACTGTATTTTGACTCTTTTTTTAACTGATACGTCTCGCTACAGTGTGTATCCAGAGTCTTGTAGTAGCCGAATCTAGGACCAGTTTTGTAGCTTTTGATTTTTGTTTGGTCGGAGTAAAAAATCACGAGACTTTATTTAAGACTTGTTAAGCTTGAACGTGTGCGAGAAAGTGTTTATGAGGAATGTCTTGGACTTCCCGTATCACGGGAACAACGTGCATTTTGCTTATTGCTTCTGTCCGAAGGAGTTTTTGTTCTTAAGATTAGTTTTGAACAATACTTTAGTCTCTCCGTGTTTTCCGGTCCCCGGTAGTCTTTGTTGTTCTTCATTAGATCAATAAAAACTCTAAATATTTTTCCTTCAGGCAATGCCAATTGAAAACACACGTATGCAGAGGTAAAAGCAAAGACTCAATCTTTGTATGCCTTTCAATTAGAAGGGACAAGGGAGGTGTTGGATTGGTTTCAATGGGTGAGATGCAGAAGACTTTGCAGGGGCCACGTCACCACACATCTCTGAAGAAGCCCTTATGGGTTGTTTTGACTGTTTCAGTGACCAGCATGCTTCTGATCTGTACCCAAATGTTCCCACGACACGGCAAGGGCTCCTCGTGTCATGGCCGAGGCTGCGAGGATGCTCTCTCCGCGTGGCTACCTGTTCATGTCAGGAAATTCACTGACGAGGAGATAGCAGCTCGAGCTGTGGTCCGAGACATACTAAGATCGCCTCCCTTCCTAACCGAAAACTCCAAAATCGCTTTCTTGTTCTTGACTCCTGGTACTTTACCATTTGAGAAGCTTTGGGATGAATTTTTCAAGGTAACAAACACCTCGACGAAAATGTCCAAATTTAGTTACACTTTCACTAATATATCGCGTGTTGTTGGTGTTGTCAAGGGTCATGAAGGGAAGTTCTCGATTTATATACACCCGTCAAAGGAACGACCGGTTCACATAAGCCGTCACTTTTCTGATCGGGAAATCCATAGTGATGAGGTCACTTGGGGAAGGATTTCAATGGTTGATGCCGAAAAGAGGTTACTCGTTAACGCTCTTGAAGATCCCGACAACCAACACTTTGTTCTTCTTTCGGAGAGGTGATAATCTTAACGTTGCTTATACCTCCTCTTTAAGGTTTTCTGCATTTATCAAATTCGTTCCTTATACCTCAGTTCTTTTTCCTGCACAGTTGTATACCGTTGCATACTTTTGACTACACCTATAGATATTTGCTCTATTCCAACATCAGCTTCATTGAGAGGTATACTACTCTTAAAACAAAAAGAAGATGTTCGAAATTTTCATTGATATTCACTGACACAAGCTTCATTTCCCACCCTCTCTTTCTCTCTCTGTTTCTCAAGCTTTGTAGATCCTGGTCCACATGGAACCGGTAGACACATGGATCACATGTTACCCGAAATCTCCAGGGACGATTTTAGAAAGGGTGCTCAGGTAAGGACAGGCTTCAATCTATAAGAGCTTGTCTTAATTAGAACGTTGCTACCGCAGTTAAAACAAAAAGAAGAGTGATTGTTGCTTTTTGTGGTGTGATTTTCATCTTGTTAGTGGTTCACAATGAAGCGACAACATGCGATTATAGTGATGGCTGATGGTCTCTACTACTCGAGATTCCGCGAGTATTGTGGAGTAAGTTGAAATATTTTCATTTTCCATTGCAGATTAACATTTGCATATCGTAGCTTTTTGATTATGGATTTTCAGATATATAACTTGATAATAGTTTTCAGCTCCCTTTTTTTGATTCTGACATTAAAGTTTCTATAAATTTCAGCCCGGGATAGAGGCTGACAAGAATTGTATTGCAGATGAACATTACTTGCCAACATTCTTTAGTGTGAGGATATTGTTCAATCTTTCAAGCCTTCTTGATTATGTTTTTGATAAAAAACCTTTTTGATTATTTGCTGGCACTTCTTTCAGATGATTGATCCCATGGGGATCTCGAACTGGTCAGTGACGTATGTTGATTGGTCTGAACGAAGGTGGCATCCAAAGACCTACGGAGCACACGAGGTTTCATTGGAGTTCTTGAAAAATGTCACAGTATGAATCGAAACGCAGTCTCTTGAAATTTTTACAATCAGCATCTTATTTTGCCTTTTCTCTTTTCTCGCTTGTGCAGTCCGAGGACATGAGTATACACGTCACAAGTGTGGGTGAGGTATGCTATTGTGG